TAACCTATTACTCAAAAGAATTCAAACTTTGAGCCTTCAAATAAACTATTAGCATAAGTTTCACTAAGTCACCACTCATCTTTTATCATAAAACTAATTTAAATAAACTATAAATTGGGAGAATTTTTTTTAATTAATTTTTTTAGGGTCATTGCATGAACAATATTCCTACCCTAAGCATCATTATGTTTCCAGTTATGTTGCTCTCATTGGTCATTTCATTCACAGTAAAGAAGATGTAGGTGTGATGGTTGAGGACAAAGTTATTACTCATGATCTGGGGAGCGACAAAGAGCTGGCACAGCTGATCAATATTCTTGGCAAAAACACTGTTCTGAATTCCACATGTTATGGTACAGTTTCATACAGATTGAATAAGCACAACGACAGCCAATATAACAAAACTCTTGCCTTGTTATCTTCAGTATACTTCGCGGACCTTTGGAGAGGCACCGCAACAGTAGCGGCCATTATTGTCATTCTTTTTGCAATCACAAACTTTGTTAAAAATATAATGGATTTCGCACATCCTAAGAAATAATGTTCTCTCACCTGCTAATATTGTGGTTCTTGTTTTACTTGTATTTGTAATATATTTATGCTTTCATGACTGTATTGTATTTATTTCAAAGCATATAAAGATTGCATTTTGTCTATATCTATGTTAGATTCAACAAAGTTTTATGCTGGTTATTGAGGGTTTAACACAACTTTCTTCCTTTACCCAGGCTTAGGATTGATTGTTGTTGTTGTTGTTGTTGTATATACAAGTCGCACTTTATTTCACATATCCAACATGCATGCATTGAGCTTGCCAGCGAATTGTTTTGTATGTTTGATATTGTTGAAATAGTATACCGAAGATATTGTGTCCAATTTCGTTTGTTTCATGTAATGTTCTAAATAGGGGAAAGAAGCATTTGGTAAAAAAAAAAAAGAAAGACAGAGAAAGAAAGAAAGAAATTCATGAGACCTAATGCATATAGTAACAATGCTGGATGTAAGTTAGCAAATTTTATGCCACAAAAAAAAAAAAAAAAAAAACGGGGGAGAAGAAAGAGAGGATTGAAGACTGATCACTAAGAGAGTTCCATCATGCTTCTCCTTTTCTCACTTCATCACATTAAAAGAAATATTCCATCAAGGTATAGAGATTTTAGTTTTATTTATAAGTACATGCATATCATTACATTTTCATTACAAGTTTTTTCTTTTATCTTCCATTAAATTTTGGTGAAAGAAAATATGTTATTAAGGTATGTGTATTTAAGAGGAACAAAGTTGAAATTTATTAAATCTTTAGACAAAGTTTATGAGTTTTAAGATATTTTTTAATTCCAGTAAAATATATTAAAAGTAATTTATAAAAAAAATAGAGCAAGTATTATATATTATAACTTCAGAAAATATTACACAATTAGCAACAATGCACCACCAGGGTTCGGGGAAAAGAGTAATGAAAAAATGTTTATAGCATAAAAAATGAAAAACTTTATTCTCTGCCTTTCCTATTCTCATTATAATTTTTGGTTAAAGATCACTTTTGCTCTTCAATTATTCACGTAGGAGCATATGGTATTCTAAATTTTTAGTGGTGTAATATTCCCCTTCAACAAATGGTGAAATTTTGTTGTTACTGTTAAAATGTTAAGTTTAATTGTTAGTTGACTTAAAAAATTATAAAAAAAGACCTAAAAAAATTATATTAAAGAACCCTACAAGAAAATTAATATTAATTAAGTCTCTTAAATTACAAATAAATTTCAAAACACTAATGATATTTCTTACACATATAAAAGACTAAAATCCTAGTTTGACGAGCTAATTTGACCAAATACTAGGTGGTTATTGGATTATTATTGTTGGCAATAACACTAATAACAATTATTAAATATTAAAGTGTTAATGTTTTAATAAGATATTATTAGAACAAATATTAAAGTGAACATCCGGTATCCTGTCAAAATAGTTTATCAAAATGGTATTTTAATTTAGTATTTTACATAATAAGAAATAATATTTGTCTCTTGGTATTTATTGTAATTTAGATAATTTAATTGATATCATTTTTATAGGATTTTTATTTGTAATTTTTCAATCTTCTTTTTCAATTTTTATGTCCTTTTCTATAAATTTTTGAATAAATTAACCGTCAAAATTAATGGTCAAAATACCTTTTAACCCTATATTTTTTAAAATAATAAATATAAATTGTTCACATTTGATCCATAAAGAACCCAAATTATTACTTTTTGTGGCATGGTGTAACACCCTTATTATTATGAACAAAAATTATCACATATTAATAATAATAACTTGCCAATTAGACACTAGCTTTCAAGCCTACAACCATTTTCCATAAATTAAACAAAAGCAAAAAAGAAACTTTAATAAAAAGAACAAGGCTCAACTCAAAATCAAATAAAATTAACTCTTTGAAATAATTTTGGAGGACCCAATTTACCGTAATTTTTTAAATGTTTCAAAATGAATAAAATAGAAACTTCAATATACAATCCTATGTCATGGCAATAAACAAAGTGTAAACTGAACATGTGCAATACCTACAGGATAATTGAATCATCACTCAATTCTCCAACGCTTTCCCTTGTGATTTGATGAAACCCTTACCTGAAAGTTGTAAAGGGTAACAAAGGAGACCTAACATCTTAGTAATAAATGAGAATTCTAATATACTAACAAACCAATTCAAAATCTCATTTCACAACATCTATTTATATAAACAATTTACTTTGCAAAACCAGTTAACAAATGAGTTCTCAAAAGGGAATACTATTGTACAAGTCAAAATTATATTAAAAATAATCATATAATAGGTGATGCCATCCCTAACCCTCCCTTATGCCTCTCATCCACCTTATCTCTCTAGCAGGAGTCTATCTTGAGGATACATTTGGCTAAAAGTGCATTGCTTGCAAGACCAAACCCCTTCCTTAAAAAGGAGCTGCCTAATGTCCCACAGTTCCAAGCCAAGGGAAAGGGGCCCTTTGTGGGACTATTCATGTTTTGGCTTGACAAGAAGCTTAAATTTGTAGTATATTAGTCACGAGTATGCTTATAGATTGTTCTTATAAGGTTCATGTTCTCTTTGATCCTAGTTCCATTCATTCTTTTATCTAGCATTTTTTTAATATAGATGTTTTGGATTGGACGCAACCAAGCTCAAGAATGTTTTCAAATTGTAGCTAGTTTTATCAGTGGAAGTTATGAAGTGTATAAATCTTCTATATTACCTGTTGAAAGTAAGGATTTCTTGGTGAATTCCTATGAGGTTTTTTTTTGGATGAATTTAATAATAAATAAGGGTTAGCTAAGAATTATATAGATTAATTAAGTTATTAGTTTGATGAGAAGATCCTGTTGTTGGAGGCCAAATTTTAGGCAAAAAAAGGGAGCATGGAGAACAAAGTGTAGAAATTTAAACTCTCAACTTATAATGAGGGTTCAAATGATTCTTTTGGAGGTTAAATAAGTCATGTATAATGTGACAATAAGATTCGAAATCCAGGTGATGAGAAACTTGAATTATGGCTTAAAGTGAAACATAGGAGCTAATACAGTTTAGTTTGAATTATTGACTTAATATATGTTAATGTCATTCAAGTGGTCATTTTAAGTTATAAGGCCAATCTTAAATAAGGAATCATATTTATATATTTTGTGAATGGTTAGAAATATGTTTGCATCAAAGAATTGCCATAGAATGCAAGTTCAGGCATTTGATCCTTCAAGACAGAACCAAATGAGCAGTAAAACAAATGTCCGCATTTGATGGCCTTAAAGGTTGAATTTTGATCTAAGATTTGGCAAGAACTTATAAGACACGTAGAAGTTTTGTTCAACCAAATATGGTAATTTTTAGAACTCTATATAATATTTTATAAATTTTTGAATTTGGTTTGTAAAGTTGCAACAAAACAGTTCTACATTTTGTATCAGATTAGATACTGTATAAATTTCCTTGACTAAATAGACTCCAATGACTTTGAAATTTTAACAACAGATAGTACATGAACATAGCTTCCATAGAGTCCTAATTTCTTCAATTGGATGTTCCTTACTCAAGTTATGGTCTTCTAAAATTTAGAATCAATTATGTGTTCGTAATATGCATAAACTGGGTGAAGAGGGATTAAGCTTTATTATTCTTTAACAAACTAGATTGGTTTATAATTATAAGATATTCTAAGCATCCTACACGAGTTAAAATGGTCATTGGTGGTGGAAGCTGGAGGAAGAGACAGTGAGTAAAATAAGGAAAAGGATATAAGAGCAAAAGTAAGAGTAATATTGCTTATGAATTAGATGAGTATGATGTTTAGATAATTTCTTAATAAATTTATGATGAAATTCATTGGTAAAACTTTGGTATATTTAAAGGAGTCCAAAATAATGTGAATATTATTTATGGTTGACACCATAAAAGCTTAAATAACATGAATATTATTTATAGTAATTTCAGCCAAACTAAGGCAAAATTAAAATTTACAAAAAAAAAAAATCCCTTTCTTACACCACCATAAGGCTTCAAACTCGAAACCTGAACTTAAACACCTAACAACAGATGCCACTGGGCCACCATTCTTTCTTATTGAACTACTCTAGAATTTAATAAAAATATAATTAAAATACTTAATTATAAATTTTAATCTTATTTAAATTCTTGGGTTATTGCATTCTTCCCCTTAAAAAAATTTAGTCCTCTAAATTTAAATATGGGCTTACCTCAATTTACAAATAAATGTGAATACTTAGCATGCATTTCATTCTCCACTTCCCATGTAGGTTTTTCCTGATAATGATGGGGTCCATAACACTCTTACTGAAGTGATTTCTTTCAATTAGAGCTTCTTTACTTGCTTGTCAATAATGGTTACAAGAACTTCTTTGTATGATAAATCTAGATCTGTTTGAATCCCTTGAGTCTCTATCACATGAGAAGGATCATATAAATATTTCTGAAGCATCGACACATGAAATACTGGATAAATGCCTGATAATTTATCTGGTAATGTCAAACGATAAGCAACATTACCAACTCTCTCTATGATTTCAAACAGGACGATATACCTTGAACTCAACTTTCTTTCTGTCACACCCCAAAAATCAACAGGATATAGGCACAAAACTTATATCTCTTAAGCCGTGATTGGAGAAACTCTGAAATTAATATGTTAAACACACTAATAGAGTAATTAGAAATTATTACAATATTAAATTAGATATTTAATTTTAAAAGAAATGTAAGGATCCTACCTGTAGTCTACGTGGAGCACCTAAGGCCAGACGCCAACATAGGTATAAAGTTCAAATTTTTCATCAATTTAGGATTTGACAAAAATAATTCTTCTGCTTCAATTCAGCAATAAAACTCCTCAGTGGATATCTCGAGTCATGAGTTCAACTATACCATTTGAGACCAAAATATCTTTTTCAGTAAATAACGTCCCAACAATAAATAATAGAATATAAGTAAAATGAAAAGTTTGAAATAGTTATGTAAGTTAAATAGACAAAATTTTTGTAAAAATTTTATAAACTTTATAATAAAATAGCTCTATAAATTTTAAATAAAATCTCAAATCAATGAACTATCATAGAAAATGATAATATCACTTAATTTCAAGAAAGCACATAAATGAAATAAATATTTATAAACAAATTACTAAATAAAAACTAATAGAATATGAAATTATCAAACAATTGGATTTATAAATATAGGGACTTATCAGAATAGTTAACAAATGTGGACACACAGTCCACGAGGGTAAATAACCAAATGCGGCTTATGCTATAAAAATAAACGTGGACATATACTCCACGAGGGTAATACTAATCAAACGTGACTTGAAGCCACGAAATAAACATGATTACGATGCTCACGAATAACCATACCTCCGTTTAACGTGTGTTGGCTATTGCACAGGACTAGCACCTCCTATAAACACCCTGCTAGCTATATGTACCATGGCGCGCCAAGGGCTAACAGAATTGCCGTTAGCAACTAATGTTTTATATAAAGTCCCTTTCAAATTCAATGTCAAACATGCGAGAAATTGATCATTATTCAATCAAATTTTCCTTTTTCATGTCGAACTCGCATGAATCATTTTTTATAGTAATTCAATAATTTTCAAAATAAAATCCCATAATTAGAATTCAAACTTGTATTTATTGATTAACCAAAATGATCAATTCTGGTAAAATAATTTCACGAAATAAAGTAATTTAATCAATAAAATATCTCATAATCACATTGTTGTCGTAAAAAGAATTTGCATAAAAATGTAATATTTGAATAAAATAGATTTTAATGAAATATTAGTTGGGACGCTATCCACTTACCTGTAAAATCTTCAAAACTCAAAATTCATTTCTTACAACTCCAATCAAGCTACCTTCCTTACAATTACCCTATAAAGTATAATAAGATTTTAATGAACTTTACTTTTGAATCAACAAATCTCTTTAAAGGGAATCTATTCAACAAAATAAAATAAAATTAACTTTGAAATTTTAGCAATAAAATTTATACATAAAAGTTTTTCCCAAGGCTTTTTACCAAACATCTAATGTACGACATTCCAAACCATTGAATAAACATATAACCTTTAATTCTCTTGACTAACCATTTCCAAACACCCCAAGTATATCTTCTAAATTGACAATATACCTTGTACACTCTTCAACGTTATAATTCTCAATAATTCCAGAGCTTAGATAAGATCTCAATAATGCTTTAGCCATATCAACCTAATTACTTGAAGTAACATTTTCTCTTCGATACATTGTTTCCAATCATACAATTAGAATTTTCTAACCTATCATATTTTATCCAACATTTTATTAATAACCATTCTATCCTCAAGAATTTAATGTCACATACAAATTCATAATAATTAAATTCCTTTAATTTGTAACCTGCAAGCTGAATTCATGGATCAATAACACTTAAACTAAATGTATCTATCACAATAACCAATCAAATTTCATAAATCTAAGATATTCAAGCAAAACTCTCCTAGAGGCATTTTATCGAACACTTATCATCCATTAATTCTTAGATTAACACCAAGCCTCTTCCCCTTAAATCTCATCTCCTACAAATCCCAAAATTGGTATTAAACTTAATCAGCTAACCTAATTTTGATTTTTTTAACAGAAAAAAAATCAATTGGACCTTAAAGGAAATTAAATCTAATTCCTCTTCTTCAACATAAACACAAGTGCATTTATCTACCAAAAATCACACTCTTAGAACTAAATTTTCAACTTGTTTAAATCCCATTACTCCTCCTACTTACGCATAGCAATAACAAAAAAATAAGTCACAACTCAGCTACATAACACACTCACATATTCAGCAAGAAAAATAAGACCCCAACACCCATCTCAACCAACAAAATCAGCAGCAAGATGAGGAAGTTAACTAAGCAAAATAGAGGATGAAACTGACACACCTATGGCTACCCACCCTTGAACAGAGTGACGGCGTGAACCAAGAAGAAACAAAGGAAGCCATTGTATGGTCAAGGGAGAGTAAAGGAGGAAGAAGATCTTAAACCCACAACAGTACCCATAACAGCAGCGGACCACCAGAGGGGAAGAAGGACGAGCTCCACCCACTATCACCTGGATGACGTCGAAGGAGGGAGAAGAAGGAATCAATGATGAAGCCTGAGCAAGGAGTGAGTAAGTCGACTTGAATAGCCTTCTTACAGCAGCAAACTTGGGTGATCTGAACATAGCAGCTAAGGAGGAAGAAGAGGCAAAGACCAAGTATACTTCATCAACAGTGAGCAGAAATTGACAATAACCAGAGACAGGGGAAACGAGAAATAGTGTCGTTTCACGGCAGATCCTTAATAGAGAAGAAACAAGCAAGCTCAGTAGCGGTGAGGGAAGAAATAAAGGACAAGGACGAGGAGGAGATCAGCAAAGAATGAACGAAATAACTCTCGATGGTTCTGGATTTTTTGAAAATGCTAGAGGAGAAGGGAAAACAAATGAGGCAGTGCGTGCTTACTAACTGAGAGGGAATATAAATATGAATTTTATGAAATTGCAAAAATTACAAAAGAGGGCCTAAAATTTCTTCTAATAACATAAAAGGCATGGACATTTTGGTAGTTTTTCTACAATCTTAAAGTAAGTAAAATTAATCTATTTTAAAATTTCAAATGTTAGACCTTCAAGTAAGCTATTAGCATAAGTTTCACTAATTCACCCCTCCCCATTTGCCATAATATTATTTAAATAAAATATATATTAAGAGGATTTTTTTTAACTTAAGGTCATTACACTCTTCCCCCCTTTTGAAATTCAGTCCTCTAAATTTAAATATATATTTACCTTAATCCTTAAATAAGCATGGACATTTAGTACGCATTTCATGCTCAACTTCCCATGTAACATCTTAAGAATAGTAGCGTCGCAACACTTGCATCAAAACCATTCTTTTCTTCCACATCTTCTTTATTGTTCATCTAAGATGACTACATGAATTCTTTAAATGATAAATGATTATGGACTTAAGAGTAATATCCCAAAAATTTTAAGACTCGGATTTATTTTAAAAATAAAATAAAATATCTATAATTAAATTAAAATTTAGAATAATTTTATAGAGGTCCAAAGTTTGAATTTTTACTAAGCAAAAGTTAGGCTTTATTTCATTTTTAACTATGGGAAAAATTACCAAAGTTGACCGGGCTTGTGTTATAATAAAAAATATTGAGCCCTTTTTTGTAATTTTCCCCAAAGTCTTATATCAGCCTTTTTTAGGGGAAATTGAACACAGAAAACATAGAAAAAAAGAACAGAGAGTACGAGAGAGTGAGAGGAAGAAGAGAGGAGAAAGAGAGAGAGTTAGGCTTAGATCTAGGAGGCTTTACGACCGTTGCGAGCTCAGCTATACGATAGGCAAACTCCCTACTTCAATCCTCCTCCCTTCCTCTTGATTTTCTTCAATTTTGGAAGAGAAAATTTTTAGATTTTGATCCCAAAGGCTTTATTCTTGTAAGCTTTTGTTTCTTTGGATCCTAGAGAGAATGTTTTGAGTTTCTATATGGTGTTCTAATGTTTTGAGTGGATAATTGGATGAAAAGAGGTGTTTTGGGTACAAATCAAACCCCAAGAGGTTGGGTTTTGCTCTTCAATGATTTAAGTCTATTGATTTAGTTATAATTTTGCCATTTGAGCCCAATAAGATTTAAATTAAGTTTTGGTTTTTATTATAAGGGCTAATGGTAAAAGTTGGTGATACTAAGTGAAGGTTTTTAATTGATTAAAAATTATATAAATTGAAAATTAGCCTAGTAATGGCTAATAAATGGTGGTGGTTAAGTGATATTATGTAAATGGTTGGTTTAATATATGGACCATTAGGATGGATTATGACTCATTGACCCAAGTTGTGTGGTATGAGTTATAGTCTTCATTAATGCTATTTATTGTGATAAGTGATGTGGATCACTTATATGTTGTAGGGATTGTTGGTGGAATTTGTTCAGAAGTTAAGGAACAAGCCAAGTCCTATTTTGTACAAGAGGAACCCTTTTGGTACCAAAGGGTTGAGGTAACAGGGAATTTATATTTCTTATTGCTTTGTTTAGCTATTTTTGAGTAGATAATATTATCTAGCATGCATTACATGTTTTAAACAATTGAATGCAAATAAAATGTGTTTTAGAAGGGTTTATGGGGTATTGCTTTAATAATAATGCATCTATGTTACTATCTATTTAATAATGATGTTACTTATGGAAATAAGATTATTAGCATGCATTGTGATCATAAAAAATAAAGGAGTTGCACTTAGGGAAGTGCAACTAGGTTTGGTACCTTAGATAGGTAAAGGAACCACTTAAGGGATGAATTATGAGTGTTATACTACCTTGAGTGTTGAAGCGGTCAATATTCGAGAAAGGTAGAAAATGGTAGGAGGCATGATCTCAGTGGGAGTTCACCAATGGGGAGATGTGGTCTTGTGATATTCTATGGCTCACTGTCAGTACTCAGTGTTGCCTTTTGTATTATGGGCTCAATACACTAAAGAGGTTAGTGAAATGAGTGTTCGACACCTCTCAGTGGAAGAAGGAATCCGGCATATGAAGTGTGAGGTTGAGTGCCTAGGCCAAGGTAGCCCTCATATGGAGACTAAGTTGGGCTGGCTTTGGGAGGGAGTTAGCTTTGACTGCTCAGGATTCACGTCAAAGGGGCAGAGACAGTTTGATAGATTAGATCATGCTTTGGTTTATATGTTATACCTGTGGAGGTACAGTGGGTACAAGGTTTCCCTACAAGTTAAAGAGTATCAAGGGGGCATTCTATTGGTCAGGAAAGGCTATATTGGCCTATCTCATGCATTCAAGCATTTTAATTGGTTACTTATATGTTATTTTGAATCTATTATTTATTTACTTGAC